AAGAGAGAACTGTAAGAAAGTCTGAAAACTTTGAGCCTGCCCTATAGAAATGATGACGAAATGGAGGTTAACAGCTCATATATTGAGAGAATATATCTGTAAATCATGTAATTCCACAATTGTTTTTTTAATATAATCAGTGTGAAGACCTTACTCTCTATAAAAATGTAAAACTTGAAGAAAATAAGTAGAGATTGGTTAAATAGAGTAGAGTAGTGTTTCTCAAGCTTATGTAGTTTGCAGATCCTTTTAAAGGAAAAAAAATTGTTCTGGATCCTAGTGCAAAAATTAAGTTGCTATTGAATGGGCGTATGGTACTGACTGTTTCGTTGCAAGTTCTCTTTGAGTTCATTATGCCTGTCCTACCATCTGCCATGTGCAAACTTAACTGTCTCATTTTTCTGTGTTTGAATCTCAGAAACCTTTGGTTACATAATACCCTGTGAACTTTATGTTGTGCATCAGTTAGGTATTAAAGCTGCTTCTGTATTAGGTTAGAACAATTAAAGTAATTCTACCTGGTGCTGGTGCATGATAAATATGAATATAAACGTGGCAACTGAAATCCTGCAATGATGATTTGTTTTAAGTGATCCAAAAGGCCTAAAATGTGCATATAAGTTTTTAAAAATTATTCATATAGGAAGCTAAAATTTAAAACCTCTCAGCAAAATGAGATTGTTGAGAATCCATTAAAAAAAAAAAATAGCATGGTCCTGGAAGTCCAGTGTGAAAAATAAGGATTCTAGAGATAAGTGGTAAATAGGTTGGTTAACAGATGAAGACTTTTAGCCCAGAATGTTTCCAGATGTCCCTGATTATAGCCTCCACTAAAGGACATATGGAAGTCCAGCAAAGCAGTTGCCAAGTGGAAAGGAAAGCATACCATGGCAACAGTGCCCATCGACTGTGGGGAATACTCTTATTTTAACAAAGTTCTTCAGCCTGTTGAGTAGGACAAGATAGACTCTGTCACAAGATCTTGAGACCTAGTTGTCAGAACTGATGAGGAGCTGCTCTAGAGCAGTAGATTTTAAAGTGTAGTCCTGACCAGCATCATCAGCACTACCTGGGAGCTTGTTAGGAATGCACATTGTCTGCCCGCCCTTGACCTACTCAGTCAGGAAATACTGTGAGTGGGACTTAGGAATCTGTATCTTAACAAGCCTGCCAGGAGATTCTGGTGCACTCTAAAGCTAGAGAACCAGTGAACTGCTCTAAAAAGTGAGTTAAGGGTGAAAAATTAAATAACCCAAACATACCAGAATTTCAAATTTAAAAGTCTGCTTCTTCCTTAAGTTTTGCCTAACTTACCTGTTAAAATTCGTTTATTTACAAAAGTTGGTTTTTTGTTGTTTTAATTTTTTAGTGACTCTGGGAATATTATGTTTAAAAACAACAACAAAAAACTATTCCTGTATTCCTGTGCTGTACATATATTATCTTTGTTAATTTTTATGAAATGTATTTTACATTAGCTTGGGGATTTTAAAAAATTCCTGTAGTGACAGTATAGATTTAAAATACTTTTCTAGCACCCTGGTTTCACCATTCAGAATTTGTTCCCCTTCCAGTAGATGGATGTCAAAGGACAAACAAGAGAAAAGAGAAGGACATGTCATCCCCAAGACAGAAAGAAAGCAAAGCACTGCTTCCAGAGCTTCTCTTCCAAAGGAGTGTCTGAACTACTCCTGCTTACATTTGGAACATTGTCAGTATACAGATGTTCCTCAATGAAGGATGAGAGTTGAGAGAGAAGGCATAATCAAGTTAGAGAATCTGAGAATGAGAACAGTTGATGAAAGAACACTAGTGGTATGTTTCAAGCAACATTAGGTAGAATGAGCGTGAGTTGTTTTATTGAAGCATTAGTCTGCTTTATTGAAGCAGAATTGAAACTTTGGTACATTACCTGGAAGTTCATGCCTCTTGGCAAACTTCCATAATCTAAATCTGAAGGAAATGCCTTCCCATTGCTTTGAAAAGGAATAAACAAGCTAAAGAAGTAAATTCCTTTAAAAATTAAATGAAAAACACTTAGAAATGTTTTCCCCTAGGATATACCATAATAAACCTAGTAAGAGTTGAAAGAAAATGGAAGAAGAGATTTGGTACATATAACTGACAAAGATTAGTATCCAGAAAATATCAAGGGCATCTATTAAAGAAAAAAGGTTAAGCAACTCAATATAAAAATGGGCAAAAGATTTTTCACAGAATAAGGAGCACCACTGACCAGTGAACATATGAAAAGTTGCACACCCTCATTGTAATTTAGCACAATGCAAATTAAAACCACAGTGAAATACCATTTCAATCCATCAGAATGTCTAAAAATAAAAACTCTGATAATTCCAACAGTTAGCAAGGATGAGGAACAACATGGGTTATCAGGTGGTACTGAATCTTCTAGGAATATAAATTGGTGCAATCACTTTGAAAATTGTTTGGCATTATCTAATAAAATTGAGTGTAAGCATACTTTTTCCCCAGCAATTTCATTCTTAGGTTTGAATGTTGGAGAAAGTCTTGCACTTGTATACTAAGAAATAGGCAACAAGATTGTTTGTAGTAGAGAAATAGAGGGGAAGACTACAAGTAACTTAAATGTTCATTTGTATGATAGGATACTACATAGAAATGGAATGGAAAGAAGTATAGCTCTAAGCATTGACTCAAAACAATGTTAAATGAGAAAAGCAAGTCAGAGAAGGATGCATACTGTGTGAGTCCATTTATATAAAGTGTAAAAAAAGGCAAAACTAAAACTTAAAAATATGTGGATGTAAGGTAAAACTGTAAAGGAAAGCAAGAGAATTATTAATTCAAAATTCAGTATAATGGTTACTTCTTTCAGGAGGGAGATGCAGCTGGAGAGGTGAACATGAGGGTGCTAGAACATTCTCTCAAGCTGGTCACTGTGTTCATGGGTATTCATTTTATTATTCTTTAAGCAATATTATAAACATGCTTTGTGTGATAGATTTTATTTTGGTATAAGGAGAAGCAATCTATTGAAGTAAGCTATTTCATCTCTCCAGGTAATGTCATGTTCCAAATTTATAGAACCTGGGTGCCATATAGTATTGCCTGTGCCTCTAATACCTCATTCCTATACTATTGCCCATTAGAGTGCCTTATTAGTAGGGTGACCATTGAATTTATGACCCATACTGGGACACTTAAGAGTAAAGAGAGGCGGATGCTCAAAATAATTAGACTTGTATATATACAGATATATGTATATATAGAGAGAGACTAAAAATGGGCTTTCTTATATACTATAAATTTCAAAAATAAGTTATATTAAAGCACATTAAAAACTTTTAATATTGATTATCCAAGCATTTAGAACTAGCATAAACTAAATTATTCTTGGTACATATTCATGTACTTTTATCAGTTTCTTACCCCTTTCTGTCTCAAATACCATGTCATTGGTATCTTCAATATTTTTTCACAGTGGTCTTATTTTTAATTTTGTCCGTTAAAATTGCCTGTCACCTTCTTCAAAGTTATATTTTATGGTTAATATATTTAAAAGTGCTGGTATCTTTTATTGAATCTTCTCTGCATACTATATTATTTTTAATAGCTAAAATATACTCTTAGAATACTTGTAAGCTTACTATCCTTTTTTTTTTTTTAATCCCCCACCGCACCCTCCCGTAAGCTTGCTATCTTCAAGTTGGAAGTACAAAGTGGAGGCTTAACAGATTTAGTAATGACAACAATGGCAATTTGTTCCCCCCCAAAAGAAAGAAAAGATCCAGAATAACTACTAGTAGAAGGAGTGCCAGTAGAACAGGTGTAAACACTGACCTGCCTTGGGCACTTACACAAAATGCCTGCAATTTAACATCTGCATAAGCAAATTTTGTTCATTTGCTTGTTTTGCACCTAAGGTGGTTGCTAGTTAAGTTGCTAGCTGTCAGACGCCTGTGGTGAACTTCCTTTCTAAATGTGGTTTGAACAGTTCCATTTGTAGGAGATGAAAACACATAAAAAGATCCTTAAAATGTTACTGGCTTGTAGAGGAAAATATGTTAAAGTATTAAGTTGGGAGAACTTGGAAGAAGGGGGTAGAAAAGGAAGTAGATTACACTTTGAAGTACTGGACATTTTGCAGTCAAGAAAAATGTAGCCAAATTGCTAAATCTGAGGATTATTTTTTATTCCTGTAGGTAAATTTTGTGAGACAGACAATCCACGTATATGGCTAGAATTTATAGAATACTGGATTTTTTTTTACTTTTCAATTTATATGTGACTTATTTTAAGTATTCTTTTCTGTAACATTTCTGCTGTATCTGGAGAGATACTGCTTGTTGATTAACCTTTTCCATGAGTATTTGGGAAAGATCCAAAGTGAAGGTCTTTTCCTACAGTCAGACCCTCCTGACCAACCTTGCCAGTCAGTGGGTGACATATTGCAGCATGATTTTGAGTATTTTATTGAAATATTTTTAGAATGCTGTATTTTTTCCTTTATATTAAACACCTTTTCCGAAAAATCTTTTTTTCCTGTGGGAAGAGACCACTCCCTCTGTGGGGAGTGTATTGATATCCCCCCATGTTAATATTGAGTCATACTGTTCTCCTAAACAATTTACAGTGAAACAAACGTGCCTTAAACAGATTGTAGGCAATGTACTTTGGTAGAATAATTTGAAGTCATTGATAGAAAAAATTTTATTTTGGTACATAATTTCTTTCTCCCTAAAATTTAGTTATCAGAAATTTTAAATTCCATCAAGTAGCTGTCTTAGTGGATGTGAATTTTATTTCCTCGTCCCTCTTTTTTTCCCCACGTTGATTTTTTCCCCAACAAAAGACAAAAGGTAAATGTATGGAATGACCCCTAGGCAAGGGAAATATGTGATATATGATCAAAGAGTAAATGATGCATGGAAATTGCATTTTTACTTAACCTAATAATAGATCTAAGTGAATGGAGATGACTTAATATTTAAAAATGTTTTTGTTCCTTCTCTCCATAGCTTTAAGAAAAAGTAGAAGTTAAGTCTGATTGTACTGAATAGCAAAAGTTAAGTGACATTCTACACTGCAAATTATGGCACTACCATTCCGGAAGGACTTAGAAAAGTACAAGGACCTTGATGAAGATGAACTCCTTGGGAATCTCTCAGAAGTAGAACTGAAACAACTGGAAACTGTTCTGGATGATCTTGACCCTGAGGTAGGTGCTAGCTGAAAAAGATAGCTTAAATAACTTTCAAGTCCTTTGAAACTAAGTAGCTGCCTTTGAGCAGTTATCTTTCTCATGACTTTTCCCTGACAACCTCCACCCCCTCCTCTTTATCCAAATAAACTTGCTTTTTGCTTTCTTTCCAGTTCCCCCACTTCTGCCTCCATCATCTTTGTGATATGACTGTTCTAGACTGTCTTTTCCAACATCCTTAATTTCAAACATCTCCTGAAATTTTTTTTCTCTAAGAAATCTTTTTTCTCTGTGTAAGGAGGAGTGTTTTTACTAAAATGCAGCAGATGATTAGCTCTTTGATATACACCCACCTCTGTGCCTCTTCAGGTTCTATACCAAGACAGCTCCAGTGTAGAGTGTCTTTAGAAGTTTGTTCATGACCTTAAACCTAGTTGTTACCTTTCTGAAAGATGCTGACCAAATTGAATATGTTTCTAGTTATTGGTAGAATAGATCTAAGTAGAATCTCAGCAATACAGCAGTCCACTGTGGAGCAGACCTGAAAATATGTATATGTTTTAATTTGCAAAATGGATATTGTTTGTCTTATAAATTACAGAAGGATAAGGTAGACACCTTTAACCCTTGAATTATTCCCTGGTATTGGCAGGGGAGGAGAAGTAGTGAGGGAAGAACCTGAAGATAAAGGTTATTTGTTAGGCTTCTTTTTTCTACGACATTTTTATGCTGAGGCATTGATTTTAACTACCTTTTAAGGGTTGAGGTAGGGTTTGTTGGATAAAACTGTTCTTGTTATTGGGTACATATCTGTGCTATAGATCAAATCCCTTAACCATAATTACTATTATAAGGAAAAGTTCTCAGTACACCTAAGTCTGGGGGATAACTCAGGATAACAGTGATGTTTTGATCATGTCACAACATCTTCTACATGCAGTTCACCTTGTTAGACCTATTTGAATCAAGTGGTTTTAGAACTGGAAGGAACATAAGAGCTCATCTAGTGCAGGTTTCTCAACCTTGGCACTATCGACATTGGGGCTAGATAATTTTGTTGTGGGGGATGGTCCTGTGCATTGAAAGATGTTTAACAGCATCCCTGGCCTCTACTCAATACATGCCAATAGCACACTCCCTGCTTTAAAATGTACCTAGGATTTTGTTTTCATCAGGTATGGGAAGATGACAGACAGAGACAACTGCCTAGAAAGAAGAGTTTATTTCAGTTCCCAAGAGCAGGAGGCACACCACACTATACAGGGGCACATGGAGAAGCACCTGGTCAGGCAGGAGGCAGAAGGATTGAGGACTAAGCATGGCTCAAAGCCTTTATTGTGGTTTCCTTGGGAAGGAATGGGTCAAGCAGGGTAGGCAAGTTTGAGCAAATTTAAGATTGAATAATTTCAATAGGCTCAGGGCTGTAGAAGTGGTCTCTGGTTGTCATTTAGGGCAGGAGAAATATTGGCTTGGCACATGGGTTAGATAAAGGAGGTGGTTGGGGTATGGGCCCTAGATTGGTTGGTTCATGTGTGAAAGGTGTGCTTATGGGGGTGGGGGATGTAGGGATGCTGTTTCTAGGAATTAGCCCTGGGAGGGACAGTCTCTCCAGGATTAGCCAGGCCTCCAAGATGTCAAAGCATCATAAAATACAGAAAATCAGTACTCCTTTCCCCCAGTGTGACAACAAAAAATTTCTCCAGACATTGTCACATATCCCTTGGAGGACAAAAACGCACATGGTTGAGAAACATTGATCTAGTCCCTGTCCTCTGTTTTACAAATGGAGAACAAAAGTTAGGTGACTTACCTCAGTTATTACAAATAGGGAAAGAATCGAGACTAGATCGCTCATTGCCTGACTGATACCTGGCAGAGTCTAGCGGTCTTTCCATTAAACCATAGTGAATTTACTCTTACCTCATGCACTATGGTATCAATCTAAGATCTGATGACTTATATTTTCTTATTTGCAAATCTTTGGCCTGCTTCTTATATGGGGAGGTTTGAGTTCTAACCTCTGAACGTATTTTACAAACTCCCCACCACAGGTGCAATTCCCACAACCTCAGGTACTGGTAGTTGAGATGAGGAGAACAATGATGTTTATTGACAGCATGCCACTTGTTGAGTGATGTTTTGGTGAAGAGTTCTAGTGAGGGACCAGGTAAAAAAAAAAAAGAGGGTAAGGATAGTAGCAGCCACTTCAGCCAGAGAAACACGTTTCACTTTAATTTACAAAGTCTCAGAAGATAGATAAGAACAGATGAAAGGGTGTGTGATTCTATTTCAGAGGTCTATTTACTGTCCTTATACTGCATTCAGTGTACTCCTCTGCTAACTCACTGCATTTCTTCAAACCACCTATCTCTGAAAGTCAGCCAGCTGAGACAAAAGCTATTTTTTCATTTCCAAGGCTAGGAATATATTATTACAACAAAATTCCACTGCAAGAGAGAAACATGGTATCTTTAGTGGCAGTCATTTTAGCGAGATTTTTATGTTTGTTAAGTAATAATGATCGATTAACTTACTCAATTAGAATATACTTCTAATGAAGCTTGTTTCAAGGGTTTATAGCCTCCAAAACCAGTTAGCTGTTATTTTGTGATCAAAGACTATTTAAGGAGCCAGGATTCCAGCTAATATATCATTTAAAAACTATATAGTTCATATAGGCTTGAGCAGGCAGATGGAATAGTGCAGCTCTGTCACCACCACCGTGAAATAACAATACATACGTGCATGCCATATTGATGGCGAAGGAAAGTAACTTTTTTTTTTTTTTTTTTTTTTTTTTTTTTTTTTTT